AGTATATATTAACAGAGTACAAAAAAGGGAGTACCACCTATTTACGAAAAATTTACAATCTTATTAGTATATCAATAACATTCCCAAAATCAACATCACTGATAATGTCATTACCTAACAAAATAAATCTAAAGTAATGAATCCACTTATCTTTGAAACTAAAGATACTACTCTCTATACTATCAAAAACCCTATTATTTCTCTCCTTCTAAATGATCCAGAAGACGGTTGAAGGAATCAAGTTAGCAATCTTATTTTTTTACATATAACTCATTCCAAGTCCAAATTTCTCCCACCACAGACCCAAGCATAACCCAATCAATCCCCAAAAGACTATAGATCATGCGCCATAACTTATATGCTGTCGGACACCATAATAAAAAGTAGTTACATGTTTCCTCAGCTTTTAAACAGCAATAGCAACTATTAACCAGCACCCTTCCTCTAATTCTCAGCTTGTCAATAGTTAAAATCCTCTCCCAACATGCCTCCCAGGCAAAAAAAGCAATGTGAGGCGAAGCCTTGGTTTTCCAAATTTGTTTTGCTAGAAAATTAAGTGTAGGCATGTTCTGTTTTCTGCATAAAAAATGGCAATATATCTTCACAAAAAAAATGTCATTTTTTTCACACTGCCATACAACCCGGTCATCACAATTAGAAACACTCTGTTCTGCCAGCAGCTTCATCAATTCCTCAAATTCGTAAACTTCTCAATCATTCAAGTTCCTGCTGACATTAATAGACCATACAATGCTGTCATTAAATTCCCGGTATGCTTCCTCAACAGCCATCTGTTTTGACTGGGGAATGCTGAAAATTCTTGAAAATTTCCTGCTGAGACAGCCATCCCCAATCCAGATGTCATCCCAAAAGCTAATCCTGTTTCCTCTCCCCAATTTCCAAGTGACACATTGCTGAAAATTGCACCATTGCATCAATATTTTCCTCCACAATCCTCTTCCATGTGTTGCTGGAAACCTACTGACCTCATTCTTATCCATGTACATGCCCCAACGACAATGAACAATCCTTCTCCATAAACTATTTTCTTCCATCATGTATCGCCAAAGCCATTTCCCCTATAGAGCGATGTTCATGTTGACCATGGACCTAATTCCAAGGCCCCCATAATTGATAGGTTCTTTGACATCCTCCCACTTGACAAGATAGTACTTTCTCTCCTCTTCACTATCACCCCAAATGAATTTACATTGTATTGCTTCCAATCTTTTAGCCACCTTGATGGGGATAATAATTGTTGATAGGAAATATATTGAGATTTGTCAAAGTACTCTTTATTAAAGTGTACCTTCCCCCTTCGAAAGGAAATTTCTTTTTTGACCCACAAGTCTTTTTTCAAACAAATCTATCACTGGTTCCCAAGGCATTTGATCTTTATATTTAGCACCGAGAGGAAGGCCATGGTATTTGAAAGGAAATTTTAACTCTTTGCAGCCCATGATCATATCAAAAGATCCAGCAACCCCACTCTCACCAATTCTTGTCATTTCAGACTTGTGTAAGTTTATCTTGAGTCCATTATGATTATTGTAGTCTATTCAATGTTGTTTTTTACGGTGTGATGAGGAGGGATCCCGAAAATATCACCTTGTTAATTGGGGTGACATCAAGAAACCTGTTGAACATGAGGGCCCTCGAATAAAATCGCTTACTGATCTAAATACTGCTTTTAGGGAAAAAATGGTTATGGAAGTTCCTCAAAGATGAAGATGGACTTTGGAGGAAGATTATTGTAACCAAAATGGGATAATATTCCGGACAGAGAGGAGCATGGCAGAATTAGGAGAAAGCACGGTCTCGGTCTGTGGAGGAAAGTTTTGATAGATTGGCACAAGTTCCGGAATTGTATTGAATGGAGCATTGGTTGTGGCGATAAAATCAGATTTTAGAAGGATGTTTGGATCGAAGGGGGCTGTCTCATGAACCATTTCCCAAAATTATTTGAGATAGCCCAGTCTAGAAAATATGGGTTGTCAAGGAGGTGTATAGGGAGCACAATGACACCAGATGTTGGGAAGTGAATGTTTCCAGAAATTTGAACGACTGGGAAATCCAGGATTACCAGAATTTGCTGTGTATTCTGGAAGCACAGAAACTACACAACTCTGCTGACTGTTTGAAATGGAAGCTGAATCAGAATGAGGTTTTTTCTGTTTAATCTTATTACTG